TGTGTGTGTGTGTGTGTGTGTGTGTGTCAGGCTCTCTTTGGTAAAATACATCAAACACTGCAGAGAAAGAATTCTGAATATGGAAAATATCCAGTGGATGCCATGGAGTTTCTGCAGGATGATTTCCAGAACAAAATTATGGTTCATGGCTGGACCGAACACCATGTTAGCAAATAAATAGCAAAGGTATTTTAATAGGGCCAATGCTTCCTGTCTGTATACTTTCCATGTTCAAAGATTTTAAAATGTAATTGTCACTCTGCAGAGTGTACATGTTTGTAATCCAGCTTTCAGAATACAGTTAAGATGACTAACAAACAATCTCAACAATCATAAAAACAGAATAAATATTTTTAAAAATAACATAGCAAAAATAATATTATACCATAAATAATATTTTAAAAAATAACATTCTGGAATGCTTCCCCCATGTTGGTAGTAATGATCCTGTGGATGGGAGAGAAAAATTCATCTGGAATGCCATTCCCAGATATTTTTCTTACCTCTCTCTCCAAGATCTTTCCCTCAGTTTGGTTGCTGGTAATAACCCAATGAGGAATGAAGAGTCCAACTGAGATGGCTCCTAAGATAGTTATCACTCTCTCTCTTTAGAGATACTTCCTTTATACTGTTGGTAGTTGTGATGATGATGATGATGATGATGATGATGATGATGATGATGATGACATTTAGATCCTACCTTTATCTTGTATGACTCAGGCATATATAATGCTCCAGCCTCCTATTTTTCTCAAAATAAAATTTGTGGGGTGGGGTGGGCTGAGAGAAAGTGATTGGGCCAAAGTCACCCAGCCAGTTTTCATGCCTAAGGGAGGACTAGAACTCAAGGTTTCCTGGTTTCTAGTCCAGCACCTTAATGTCAGGCCCAGTCCAAGAACAACAGTGAAACAGTCCGGTCAAGTACAGTTCCTTTATTTGCTTACACCTTATAGACAGAATCTTGCCCGACTAAATCTATACTACTGCAACTAGTGGATATACCGTGGGGGATTCTAGGGAGTGGCTATCCTGAATGTCTTACTCTTCTCACACTCCCCCTGCTGACTGTATTGTCTCTTGTCTCCTTTCCCCTCCTGGAATGCACCCCCTCCCTCCAGATAGCCTTGCTCTCCCACATCACTCTCCTCCTCCTAGATACATTCCATCACACTTAATCTCTACACCAGACTGGCATTTTATTTTATTTTATATTATGATAATTAATTAATTAATTAATTAATTAATTAATTATAGTCCCATATATCCACCTGATCAGGCTTCTCGGATGGTTCTTGATTGCTGGTAGGCTTCTTGCAGAGAGCCTTAAGCCATTTAGGTAAATATGAAGAGCCAGTGGAACATACTTCTGAATAAAATATGCATAGGCTTAGACTATACCTCTCCCAACAATCTTTCTATTATGTTGTATGGAACTTGAGGGCAATTTCTGATATTAATATTTTCAGTAAAGTTTCTGCAGTTTGAAACATCTCCTATGCCCAAAGCTGTAATATAGTTGACACTTACCATTAGCATTTATTTGTTGTTCTATTAGTCATCATGATGTCATTTTCCTTAACAAAATGACCTTTCAGTGAATAACAGCAAGAAAAGCAGGCTCAAGAGATGATAATGTGAAACTGATGTAGCACAAATGCTGGGTCAAGTTGGCTCCCCACAAAATATCTATGAAGAAATGATATCTTCCAAAATTCAATATCCAGCTATGTTTTGTCTGTGTATGCGTGTAATGTATCCGAACATCAATAGCTAAACTGTTAAAATGTGTCAATTACAATTGCATTCTGAAATAGTCAAACCAAAACTCTTTCCCAAGGATAAAAATGTTAACATGATCAGTTTAAGTAATTCCATTTAAAAAGTTTCTTTTGGGTTAGGCAGTTACATCCACCCCGTCCGTCCCTATTCAGTGCATGAATTAAAACATCCCAAACTATCTGGTTGAACGTATCTGATTAAAGGAGCCCACCCCCCTCCCTGGGTGATTACTATTAGGAACAGTTTTTTTTCTACCATTGTTAGAATCTGCAAATCCATAATACTAGATCCTGGACTTGGGAACAAGAAAGAATAGGCCTTGACCTTCTATATGACAGGTTTGAAGAATGCTACGATATCCATCCTCAGTTATCTCTTCCTGAAAATAAATATAGCCAGCGCCTTCAATCTCTCCTCATAAGGCTTGGTTCTAGTGTCCTGATTACTACTACTGCACTTAGTTGAACCTTTTCCAATTTCTATTCATCCTTCTTAGAGTCTGATACCCAGAAGAGAACATAGTACTTTGAAGTGGGATCTGAGCCAAAGCAGAATAAAGGGCAGTGACTGCTTCCCATGATTTAGAAATTATATTCCTGCTGATGCAGCCTAAAATGGCATTTGACTCTTTTGCAGCATCCTTACATTGCTGGCTAATATTCTGTTTGCAGTTCTTCTATTATTCCAATATATTTTTTACAAATATCGTTACCAAGTCAGGTATCCACCAACCTTTACCAGTGCATTTGATTTTTATTTCCCAGCTGAAGAAGTCTGCACTTGTTTCTGTTCAATTTCATTCTGTCATTTTCGGCTCATTTCGCTAAACTTTTCTTCCCTCACAGCATCTCTACAGTTCCATTTCCTTGTCTCACTGTGACCTACTCAACTTTTATTTCCTGTATGTTTCTTGTATGTTCAAATTTTTTTATTTGTTTTTGTTGTTTTCACTTTTTGTACATCAACTTCTTTTGCTGTTCTCCATTTTCCTCCTTATTGGCATGATATGAGAGTAGTGAATGATGCTAAAAATAATAAAAACATTATTTAGGCATGTTCAAAATAAAAGGAAAAAAAATAGTAATTGCTCAGTAAAGATGGCAAAACATTAACAGGTAACAAGGTAAAGGCAGACACTCATTTTATATTTTAATTTGATCTTCTTCAACAAAAAAGTATACCTTCCACCATGAATTGTGAAGAGCATAATTGAGGCTTGAGAATGAAAGAAATGGCTTTGGGCCAATCCACTTCTGAAAACATTGTGAAGAAAACTGCAACTTGTCCATGTAGCTGCCAGGAGTTAAGACCGACTCAAAAGCAGAAACAAATGCAAAACACTATACATACGAAGGGGCAGGTATATATTTATCTATGATAACACTGAAAAAGAGTGTTCCTTTATGTTGTGTGTGTGTGTTTGTGTAGCTGTAGTTAAGGTCATCAAACCTCTTTTAAGGTTTGCTGTGAAAAGATTTTTTTTTTTTTTTTGGTTTCTTCTGCAGGCAGTTCTTGCACAATATTTGATAGAGTAACTGAATGCTTTTTACAAACGTTAATACAAAGTACTAATGCTCATTAATACTTGTAATACATGGGATATCCTAGAAAACATCTAGCTTAGTTGTCCTCCTGAAGAATTTTGCCAGTTCTTCAGCTTGATAAACAAATGCATTACTGATAAACTATAGCATATACTATTTTGTGGTATTTTCCATTAAAATCCATTTTTAAAGCTGTTTACAAGCATGTTACAAGCATGTACTGTATTAGTACAGTAAGGAATCCACTTCACACTTTCTGATCTTTATATACTTAAAAACACAAAGGCATGATAAAGAGTCCAAAACAGCCTTATGCTCTCTCTTACATGTCTCCTTCTACTCATATATCTCAGTTGTAGAATTAAAAAAAAAAAAAAATCTTACAGTTAGTGGATGACCAACTTGGCAGGTACTTAGCAACCCTCATTGTATTAATTTTACTTTAAAAGATATTCCTTCTGAAACAAAATAGTAATTATTGGCACTTTGCTGCACCTTTGCCTTTGGTTCCAAAAAGGTTCTTTGAAACACCAGGAAGTGCAAAATCGGTCTGCCTTAAAGCATCTGCACTTTTTTACTGCTTGGAGCCCTGCCACTTTCTTCATGATGAGCGGAAACTTCCAGCTTCAGACGTTTTTCTGATGTAAATGAGGGGAAAGGTGTTGGAGAAGAGTTTGGAGGGCTTATATGATGTTCTATACTAAAATATTTTAATGTAATATTTTGTGCTTGCCATGTCTGGGATTAATTACATGATTTTCATATTGCAGGTGATGTGCCTTCAGGATTTTTTTGGTGATGATGACATATTTATTGCATGTGGTCCTGAAAAATTTCGTTACCAGGATGACTTCTTGCTAGATGAAAGCGGTAAGGAGATATCATTGTCCATATATGTATTGCTGCCTGTGTAAGATGGTAATTTTAAGATACGTTTTGAATTTCCCAGTTACATCCATGTGAATGATGACGCGGAGTCCTTGGTGCTCTCTGTACTTGGTTGTTTACTTGCAGATGTTTCACTACCCAACTAGGTAACATCATCAGTGGTAGTGAGTGTGGGGTTTGCTCCCTATTTATATAGAGTAGCTTGTACTGCCAGTTGTGGTGGTGGGGGGTAGTTTCCTCCTTGGTGGTTCCTTGATTATTGTTTTCTGCCTTAGATAAACCCTGTTTATCTAAGTGTTGGCTGCTGGAGGGGATATGTTCTAGTCTAGCAAGCTACTATATATTAACAGGCAGCAAACCTCACTTGCACTGATGATGTTATCTAGTTGGGTTATTTATTTATTTATTATTAAATCTATTTATTTATTTATTTAGATTTATATAGCCACCCATCTCACTTCTGTGACTCTGAAAGCAAACAACTAAGCTCAGAGAGCACCAAGGGGTCCACAGTTCAACCCTGAGTTACATATATTCTCTTGTATTGAAATGATGATGGTTTGGGACAAGGCAATTAAATTAAGCTGTATTAAGAGTACTACAGTCATGTTGTGTTATCTTCAAAATTCTTATAAATAGGCACTAATTAAGTGAAGCCAGAAAGATTGTGTCAAAGCTGACTTTTACAATCCTTATGAAGTTATAGAACTCGTCCCAAGATTTTTGGTTCAAAAGTACACACCAGTCTTCTCCAGTCTGGACATCCTCCAGATATATGGACTTTAACTTCTACCTATTAGGGTGGCTGCTGAAATGACTTTGTTGGGGGAAGAGTCCAGCCCAGGGAGTTGAAATCTCAGCACATCAAAAAGGTACCAGGTTGTCTTTGATAGCTAAAAAATGAAGACAAAACTGTTTAATAAAACTATTTAAAGATGCCAATTAGGATGATCACTCTAATGGGGTCTCCATGTTCACAGAGTCAATATAATGTCACTAGATGGTGGCTGGTGGGAAGAATTGATAACAGGGATATCATAAACATCTAGGTAGCCATTGTGGAAGCAGGATGTTGGGGAATATTGTTTGATCAAGCTCTGCCACTATTACATCCTTAAACATCCATAACTGTCACATCCATATAACATACGCATAACGTCTATGCCAAATTACTATACAAAAACAGAAAAAAACCTGCTGTTATTAAAGGAGATGAATAATACCTAATTAGGTACTAATTGATTTTACACACACCCCCCGTC